GTTAGAATGGAGGAATGGAGAATATAGTTGGGGCATTGAAGGTGTCTCGTGTCTGACGATATTGCGGTTCAGTGCATGACTGTTGGTGAGGGTGATGAGTGTATGATTCCAGTGTGAGCGCCTAGAACGAGCGAGAGAACATGAGCGTTTGTGATTTTGTACTATCATGTTTATGTTGTGAGGAAACCGGCAACCATGATCCTGAAACGTGGAGTGGTGGACCACAAAAGGCTTCAATAGATCAGGCGTGGTAGTGAACCGGGCGATGACAGAGCCGCTTACCATCTGAACTTGGACGTTTGACCCATCTAAAGGTGTGATCCGATGAGCCGGACGCCGTTCATCCCTTAGTGAATTGCGTTTTTAACACACGGTCCAACTATCTTTTGGGATATGTTTTGGCAAGTCAGTCTGTTTGTGGACCCCCTTTAGAAAATTTACTTGTTTTAACTTAGGCAACCTGACAGTTTTCCGCCTACGGGCCGATCAAAGATTAATTCCTAAATAGGTTGTTTTACGTTGATTTCCTTGGCGCCGTCGGGGCTCGGACGTATCAGATATGACAATACACCGATGTTTCATTACAGCCGACGTAAACAGTTTGGTGAAATCCAAAATTTCGTCTTGCAGGTTCCAGGTTGTTTGTGAGCACCAGAAAAATATTATTAGAGGCCTAAAATGTTTCAACCTATTTCCCCTTTTCAGAACGACAGTACTCTGAAGTACAATGGAAGTGATGGATATGCTGCCAAAGGGTGATCCTCGAGTGGAAAACTGGCCGCTAATGGATAGCCCAGTCACGACCTTCGCCATCGTTTTGGCCTATCTAATCTTTGTGGTCTGGTTGGGTCCCAAGTTAATGGCTCGTCGGCGCACTGGCTTTAGTATGCGTCCACTCATGCTCATGTACAACGGAGCTATGGTCGTTTTTTCTGGCTGGCTATGGTACGAGTTTTGCGCTGCTGGTTGGTTTGGTGGAGGCTACACCCTCGGCTGTCAACCAGTTGATCGAAGTCGACGTCCGAAAGCTTTGCGAATGGCTCGAGTGTGCTGGTTTTTCTTCATCAGTAAATTATTTGAGTTATTCGACACGGCCTGCTTTGTCCTGCGTAAGAAGTTCGATCAAGTCAGCTTTCTGCATGTGTTTCATCACTCCATCATGCCACTGTCTTGGTGGTTCGGAGTAAAATATGTTCCAGGTAAATGTTGATTCGATTTTTTTNTGGGAATTTTCGCTTCACTCAATTTATTTTCGTTCACTTTTCAGTTCCAGAATATCGCATTTGCCGGTTTAATAGGACAAAAGTACTAGCTTCACTCAAATGACGCTTAATGGCTAGAGTATTTTGAAAGTTATGAGCCTTAAATTGATGAACGCCTTATCAGTTGTGGAATGACAATCAATCTTCGCTCATATCCTTCCCACATTAGTAAGAAAATATTTGCCATGAATTCGAACGAGGAAGTGTTTTCATTAGGTAAAGTAAATCTGCTTGAACTAAGTGTTAGACTCGTTGGTTTAACATGGTTTCACAAGCAAATTCGAGAGCTTTTTATAACGAGACTGTAATCGGCCTTGTCAGACAGAGGACCGAGTCTACTTTTACGCACCTCGTGATCAACCTCGAGCTCACAGTGGTTCATACGATTGTCTTTGACATGAGTTCTGATGGAAGCCAGTTGTGCATCTGAAACCATGCTCTCAATGCGAACATTCTTTTTATTTCCTTCTTTTCTGAATAAGTTGGTACAATGAAAACCTAAGAAGGAGGGTTGCAGTTTATCTGGTCCGACTTAGAGACCCTTGGGTGGGAAAGTCGTGTGATGGTGGTGGTGAGATTCGATCTGCAGGTTGATATGAGGTTGACCTTGACCACTTGGCTACCATTGTTCGATGAAACTTCACAGTAGAACCCCTGATTCATATATGTGGGTTTTATGTAAACATTCAAATCCATCCACTGTTTTCTGTCCATTATGCATGTAGAATCATACGTTTACTCGTTACCTTTCTTTTCTTTTTTTCTTTTCATTCTACTTCCTTTTATTGAATATACAAAGATACAATTTTCAGGAAGGGGGAAGCGACCAGTCAAAGGGCTGCCATTCAACACACAGTGGGGGATGTCGGACGGTGGTGGTGTGACTCAAACACACACGTTAGTTTCGAATAGGATAGTTCCACAAACCGATTCAACTCAGTAGTGAACCTACTGTTGTTGTGAGTTCCTACCCACATTTGTGAATAGTATGGTTGGATTGCGCAAAGGAATGTGATTGGCCCTTTCTCACAACGATCAAAAAAGAACAAGACCTCTTAGAGCGAATTGTGTTGTTGAAAAATGCTACGGACTGTTCCATTCGTTATCGAGTGTGCTGCTGGGGATTTTAATGACATGTTCCAAATGAGATATCTTGTTATATATACTATGTACGTGGTTTTGATTACGTTGTCCAATGGTGGTCTAACGACATGAGCATCGCAGAAGGGAAGTGGGAGACTGAAAGATACCAGCAGGTGAATGTAAGATCATAAAGATGAATCATTCTGAAATTCTTTTAATGGATCATTCGAAATAACTGCTGATGACTGGTAATACACAAAGTGCCAAAAAGATCTACAATGGTAAATATGTTGAAGTTGTGCTAAATTTATTCGGGATTTCAATTCAATCTTGATTTAAGTGGTCTTGCAGCATGCTGGATGATGTGGTAAGAGTATTGCGAAATAATCAGGCCTGAGAGAATACATATGCCAAACAAGTCTATTTTCGAAAACGATATTTATAAAACACACTTTTGGTCTAGATGTATTCTGCAAGGATATTTTTCAATTACCTCAAAGCGTTCGATCAACGAACATCGTAGTAGTCGCCGGAGACTTCAATGCTCAAGTGGGATCCCTGGACGAATCAGAAAGGCTTTTTGGCGGACCGCATGCCATCCCAGCCAACCGGACGGACAACGGAGATCGCCTACTTCAACTCTGCACGGACCACGGATTGTTCCTATCAAACAGGACCAAGCAGGAACAGCACACCCAAGAAGAATTCAGGTGTACAGCAATCGGTCGGTGCATACACCGATACGACGAACTGCCAAACGATAATAGCAGCGGTAATTCTTAGAGCACTAATGAAATTAGGCAGGTCACTGTTCAGAGGNAATCGTAACAAAACAGCTTTCGTCCCTTCAAACAGGCTCAGCTACAAGAACTTCGTGTCAATGATCCTGAGCACCGACTAGAATTTTGCACATGGTACCTGGCGCACCTGGATGTGTGGCAAATGGTTTGCACGGATGAAACTAATTTATTATGTGAACGGAAATGTTACAAATTCTATTCGTTGGGCCGTTGAAAACCCAAAACACTGTTGACTCAAAATCGCTTCATTATCCCAAAGTGTTTGTATGGGCTGGCATTATGCACGGCAAGATTATCGGACCAGACCATTTTTAACGGAACCGTAACACGTAAAAACAGTTTCACTTATTACATTATCTAGGGAGCCTCATAAATGTAAATGTTTCAAGATAATGTGATACCTACTATGAGGCATATAGAAACAGAAGTTGGTAACAGTTTGGTTCACATATGACGGTGCAGTGCCGTACACTGGTGTTGAGAAGTTTCCTCGATTCGGAATTCAGCTGCCGACGGACTGTCCGAGGAGGACCAAAAGGATGACCTCCAAAATCAACTTATCTGTCTCCCTTAGATTTCTTTCTGTGGGTATATATAAAGCGAATAGTTTATTCCCGAAAATCGAAAACGATCGAGGAACTAAAGCAGAGTATTGT